GCACACCTTTGGCTATTTTAGATTATGGTAGGACCTACTGCTACTGTATCCCAAGCGCTAGGAATATAGGTCTGTCTATACCAATATGTACTGCCACACTTCCCTTGCCTTTCTGTGATGCTGAGGACCAAACTTGTCCTTGCACTTGAACAGCAGTCCTTTCATCACTGAGTTATCCTCCAGACATGTTTTAAAATAAGCTCTAAGTTGCACAGAAGAGTCACAAATTTACCATATATATATATTTGGATAAGAATGATAGTTCTTAGTATTCTTATAAATATTCATTAATAAATAAGGATGCAAAAATATACAATGCTATATAAAAATGAACCATGAGTATAAAAATGGTTTTATTAGGTGACTGGAATTAGTGGACATATATCACATTAAAATCAAAAGAGGTCATGGGTAAAAGGCCACACAGTATTTCTGCACTCATTTGCAGTACTTCTTATAAACTACTAGAAAAAGAGGATTATGATAATAAATTCTGATGAAAAAAGAAATACCTCAAATTCTGATTTACTATCTCTGTCAGGAAGATATATTTCAGGAAGTTTTCTAGAAGTCTTTACCATAAGTGTGGTTGAAGGGTACGTTAACCATCATTTGTCAGTTCGAGTCATGACTGAACCGTCTAAGGAAATTAAGAGTTAAAAATACCTGATTCAATGCTAGTTTCTCACATTCTTCATGGATTGGGTTCTTTGCCATCTCTCTCTTTCTCTCATATATATAGTATTTATATATACAAAGTTGTATATGTGTGTGTGTGTGTGTGTGTGCGCGTGTGTGTGCATGAATATATCTTTCTACGTGATACCACATTGCTTTTCTGTTAATGACATTTCCGTGGTCTCATGATTCCCTGGGAACACAGAGGCAGAACTGAAAATGTGTAGGGTAGGACTGAGAAGCCACGTGCTTTGTGTAAGGTATGTGTTGACACTAAGACAGAAGAAAGTTCATCAAGAAGTTAGACCTTGACCCACAGGCTCTTTCAAAATAAAATAGTTGAGGGGTTGATCTCTATATAGTGCATTTTTTTGTAATAAGTTAGACAAATTTTGTGAAATCTTAAAAGATATTATGTATGAAATATGTAGGCAGCTCTTATAGTGGAAAATTGTTAAGAAATCTAAACTAGAGCACTTTAAATGAGCTTGTCTTTATTTCACTTTTGGATTCATAGTAAAAGTTGGTTTTAAATGGAGCATTGTTAGTGTCTAAGCAATGGAGATGCAGATGCAGTTTTAAACAGTATTATCTTCTCTACAGTATAAGCAAAAACTTCTAATTGTGATGTCTTAGTGACCATTTTGATTGTGTCCCTCCATCTTGGATTTATTTTACAAGAAGTAAATTGCTTAAACATGTATATTCAGTATACGAATCATCTGAAAAAGTCACTAGGTGTGGATATAATAGACATAGGAACATAATTTAATTATTTAATCAGAAATACCCATACTCCATCACTAGCTGTCCATTGTTATTTTCTGTGTATGCTTTTTTTTCTGGACTATACAGTGTAGTTTATAATAATTTCCCACTTCAGGGCATTGTGTCCAATAACATGAAATGATAATATCCAAATATATTCTAGTTTATAGTTCACAAATCAGCTTTTTCATTTTTCTTAGTATAGAAGGCTTATCATAGAAGTTTGTGGCTGATTAAACTAATCTTTGAACTTGATGATTATTTTCACTTTTAGTTTTATATAAAAAGTGTTCTTTCTTTAAACTCTCACATTTTATTAGTAACTAAGTTTTTGCTGGATCTTGTGCTAAATAGGAACAGAAAATAAATATTGGCAAATAGATGTGGGCACCTATAAGAGTTGTAAAATGGAAGCTATGTCTAGATAAGTTGTCATGGGTTTGGGCACGAATAGAATTTACACAGGTTAGAGAATAACATGAAAAAATAAGATGAGAGAGTCCAATTCTTTTTAGATAAGAGAGTTGAGAACACTTGGATGAATCAAGAAAACTCACATAAGGTGACAGAATTTTCAGATTAATTTTGAGTTATAGACTGTACAAAGCTACATGGGTCAATATGAGACTAAGGAACACCAGTGGAGGTGATGGGGGCCTTTGTAAATCAGGTCAAGGTTAACCAGCTCTCTAGGCTTTTAAAGTTTCCATCACAGCATTTGACCTAGTTTATAATTCCAGGTCCTTTGTCATCTCCACTCCTAGCTATAGTTCTCATTTTTTCCCTTTAGTAACCCAATTAATATTTTTAAGAGACATCCTAAGGCCTTTGCACCATGTGAAGTTAGCTGCCAGCATCTATGTCTATGTGTTCTCTCCCAATTAACAGGGGCACAAAGCCCATACTCCGATAAGCCACTAACACACTGACTGAAACTGGTTGCTATCCTCTCCCATCAATTCAGAAGATCACCATATTCCACACACTCAGTAGATTTCTATCTTCTCCACACAGTAATTTTTAAAATCCATTCTACTTTTTCAAGTTCACATACACAGAACTAAGTGAGCTTATACCACTGAGATTTGTTCCAATGACGATATCTTTTCAATAAATGACAAAACTTCCTCGGTGAGGGCCTAGACAAGAAATCTTTGAGCAATCTTTGTCCTCCCCTTTGTTAGTCCCTGACAAACTTCAGTTGCTACTGTCCGACACAGCAATAATTAACTTGGACTTTATACTTTTACTTGTTCATTTGAGATGTGCCCCTGCTTGGATGTATGGGTGTGTGAACCTGGGCACAAACATGCAGAGCTAAAGAAGAATATCAGATGCCTTCCTCTGCATTCTCTTTATTCCCTAGGGAAAAGTCTTTAACTGAATCTACAGCTCACCTTTCAGTAAACTGGCAGGCCAGCAATCTTCCAGACACCTGACTATGCACATGATGCCAGGGTTACAAGCACAGAGAGCCAAGCCTAGTTTTCAATTCTGGTATAAATACAAAGTCACAAAAGATTTCTGAAGTGTCCTCTTCATGTTTCTAGCCTTTTCATCTTGAACAAGGGCAGTGGCTTCCATGTACAGTTGAGAGGGATTTGATTTCTCTCAAAGGATTACTAAATGGTGGGAAGAGTCCCAGACATGCTAGGGCAGCCTGCTTAAAGAGATGACTCCCTTGTTGTCTGGAGAACATCTAACCATTTTCAACTTCTGGCTAGTCACTAACAAGCTATTCTAGTAGAAGGCTTGTGGTAGCAATGACTCAGTAATGGATTAGGTAAAGTCACAATGTTCTCATCATACAATTAATAGATTCATTGCAAAAATATAGTTTAATTTTTTCTGTACGTCTGCAGCTAACATATAACAATATAATAAAGTTTTGAATAGACAATTATTCTTATAAAACACAAAAATGTTATTATTGGACACATGACAGTGTTAGTGGTTATTTTGCTTCCATTTAAAATTTTAATTTCTATGAGAATGGCTGCTTTGTGTTTACATGTGTTTCACTTTGCAAAAGAGATATTTATCAACATATGTGAACATTTTTATTTTTGTCTTTAAAGCAACAATTGCGGCTGGCATCCAGTGAGTAAAAGTCCTGGATGCTGTGACATGTCCTGCCTGTTGATATGCAATGTAACATGTAGCTCTTCTAAAGAGAATTATTCAGACCACAGTACCAGGGGTGCCAAAGAAAAGAGAGCCTGCTGCAAATGACTACCATAAGATATAAACTACTTTTCAGTGTATATTTTGCAAAGGAACACATGGGATAATTTGCCTATTTAAAGATATTGAATCTGAAAAAGAAAAACACACTAAAAGCACCAATATCTACTTAGAAAATAATCTCTTCATGATGGAACACATCCTTTCATTGAATTACAACACTGAAAACTGATCAGTCACACACACACACACACACACACACACACACACACACACACACACTTGAGTATAGTCTAAGCAGTGGCATCTTATTTCCATCATGTGTTGGCACTGGTGTAAATAACATTTAGTATGAACTTGCTCCATCTGCTGTCTCTGTCTCTCTATCCGCATACAGGAATGAGCTTACAGAGAGGCCACAATAAAAGACATTATGAAATTCCTTCTTTTTCTGATTCATATTCTAACCCACATGTGTCTCTTTAATAATTTCCCTTTCCATAAATTAATTTGCCAAAACCTATTCTATTATATTGGGTGAGTGTATGTTTCACAAGAAGTTTGATTTGATATAAATGGCTAAATTGTAGTGCTATGGCAATAATAAAAAGCAGGCATTTGGGTGGACATTGTACGGATATTTTATGTAGTGATGCAGGTCAGAATGTTGCACACTCAGAGGCAGGAGAGGAACGGAGGCTGATGAAAGGTCAGAAGTGAAGATGAGTGTTTCTTCCTTATGTGTGTCTCCTTGTGCGATATCAGCTCTTCGAGATAAAGAGAAGATTAAACTCATAATTATGTCGACATTCTTCTTTCTGAAACGTCCTCCATTACTTTTGGTTTACATTTCTCTCCACAAAATAATAAACATGAAGAGACCCTAGAGGCAATGTGAATTTTCTCTGCTACTTTGTTCTTATGCTTTGGTTATTCTCTCTCTTAAGCACTTTGTATCTCATGAGAATGATCTTTTTTCTCAATATGGAGTCACCAAGCCTAGTACTTCATACGTTTTCATGGGGTTAACACATTAACAGTGCATATCTATTGGCAGTCTATATCTCAGAGTTACATGTCGTTTCTTTGACTTAGGCTTTCCCACCGTCTTACTTTGTCAAATATCACAAGACACAAAATTCTGAGTACTGTTGCAGGAATGTTCACAAATAGACTCAATTCAGTTTATTTCTGAATGTACCAATTAATATGTGAGCTAGAACCACTTATGAATGACTCAGAATTAAATTTTATTAGATTCTTTTTGCTTTACGGAGACAAACATATCTTGAAATTTTTGTTGGGAAGACTTAATTAGACTTGTTCGTCTTCTTGGGTCATGTGTATCTTTTCATCCATCATCTTAAATTCTAGATGCAGCAGTGAGTTCCAGGTCTTATGCAGAAAACAATCCTAAATTCATTTTCAGAGCACTGGGTTTTACAGTGACCTTTACTCATTTTGCACTGATAACTCAAATCCAAGCTACCATACTCGGGAAACCTCTTTCTGGCTGTAAAAAGGAAAGAATGCTGGAATTAGGAAACTGTATATGACACACCCATAAGGAGAAAGTTTTAGAGACAAAAGTTTATAGTGTGACCATCCTCAGATGCTGGGGAAAAATTAAACGAATTCACTGTTGCCTTATATGAGGGATATCCTAGACTTCAGAAAATGCCTTGATACTAAGTAGGTTTTCATAAACAACTGAGTGATGAACTCAAAAAAACTTCTTGAAGACAATGGTAAAAGTGAGTCATGATTTACATTCTGCTGACTTTCTTTCTGCAGCTGTTAATAAAATTAAGAATGCTCTATTCTGTTATCATAAATAATCAATTCAAGCCTTATGTTTTATACTGAAAATCATTACTAAAATTCATTGCAACTTTATTTTATCTTTCAAAAATATTTAGAATTAAGCAGTGGCAAACAATTTGTTCAAATAGAACTTTCCTGGACATTTTGTGATTTCCTTTCCCAAACATATTAATTAAATTATATCTATACATAACAAAGGCATTGATCAAAGAGAAAAGAGGAGTGTAAGAGAGAGGAGAAGAGGAGGGGGAGAGAGAGTGTGTGTGTGTGTGCATTCATTTTCACCCTTACATCATTTCTGAAATTACCACACTTTCCAAAATCACAGTTTTTTTGATAAGGCATTCTTCAGATTTCTGTTTGTTGTGTTGATATTGGAAAGAAATAAAGTCTACATAGGGGCCAATCCACCCTGACACTTTTTTATGGTGTATGATTCCACTAGTATCCACTTATACATTTATATAAACACTTACATATTTCAATGAGAGTTGATCTTATAGGTTGTATAAAACCTGAAATATTTACTTACTTTATTTTTTGGGAAAAAGAAGTTTATTAACTCCTGCTTCACTTTAGAGTCTTTTTTAATTAGGAAAACAAAACAAATCAAAAAGAATGGTTGAAAAATTTATAGTTGGATTTATGAACAGATTCTACCAGCACTGCTATTCTGCCATGATGAACTTTTTCACATTTTTATCTAGAATTACAAAAGTAAAATTAGAGGGTTTTTTTTTTTTTTTTGGACAGGATTTCATGAAACTCAGGCTGACTTCAAAATTGCTATGTAGCCAAAAATGGACGTGAATTCCTGATAACCCTTAACTCTGACTTTCAGTTTTCTGGTTAGATTTGCTACTATAGCAGGCTATTAGTTTCTATGAAATAGAAATAATTCTGGAGGCATGGCAGGCTCTAGGGTAGGCTTCTCATCCCAAGCAAAGTTGAATTTATGATTGAACAAATCTTGGTCTTAAGGGGCTTTTTATTTAGCAGATTATTTAGCGGCCTTTCTGAACTTTACCCCACAGTTGCCCTTTGTACAGGCTATGACAAAGGTTCTCCAAGCATTTCTGAATGTCTTCTCAAGGGTATCATTACCCCTAATTGTTAGTCAATGTTCAAATAATATGTGAAAAGACAAATAAATAACCTCTTGTCTTCAAATACATAAGTTGCATTTTATCCTCACTCTGAAATATCTGCTTCTGACCTTCGGAAGAATCCCTATCTGTTTCTTTCTCATATGAGTACAATTTATACTGTTATATCAGCCTCAGATGATAGAGAATTTAAGTAGTATATGAATCTTAATTCATATACAATATAAATCTCTACAGAAGTTTTCCCCAGAATAATTCTTTAAACTACAACTTCTTTTCATTTAATTTGTTTGTTTTATTCTTTAGATTACCTTGAATGTTTGGGGTATGAGGGAAGGAAAGATTATGTGATCTCTTTGATACAAAAATACTCTGTCCTGTTTTCATAGCATATGTATGATTGAAATATAAAAATGTCCATAGAAATTAAAATCTTCAATTTTTAAGAAACAAATAAAAGAGTGGATCATTAAAAAGTATTCCACTTCTATACTTTATGTGTATTTGTAGTGTTTGAAAAATGCAGAAGAAAGCTAATTTATACAAAGAGAAAATCCTTGCATTGAAAACTTAAGGACATAAATCAGTGATAGTATAATGTCATTTTAATTCAGTTTGAATAAGAATTTTCATGCAAATAATACTGAAGTTTAAACATTCAGAGTTTGAGAAGAATCAAATCAAAACAGTCTATTTAACACTGTACTCTGGGCAGTTGTGGTTATGTGCCCAGACCTGGCTGGACAAGTTCAAGCCATTCAAACAGCCCTGCATGAAACCCAACTATTGACTGAAGAGATATTGACAGTTTACAGCTTCTGAGTGTTTTCTAAGGGTGTTGTCTCTGGTTGGTTGGTCGTACTTTGGTCTTCAAACTCATGAGCACATGGAGATCACAAATTTCATCCTGAATTATATTTTACTTTTGTGTTTGTGTGTGTATCCCTGCAATAGTAGTTTATGTACTCCACATATGTGAACGTTAATACAGAGGCTAGAACATATCATTAGATCCCCTAGAGTTGAGAATGTAGGTGATTCTGAGCTGCCCACTCTGGGTTTTTGAAATTGAGGACCTAAACTCAGGTCCTCTATAGTAAGCATTCATAAGCAGTCAGCCATCTACGCAGGTCCAGTGATGTACATTTATTTTCAACTTTATTTTATTACCATAGATTTGTGAGCTATGAAGTGAAAGAAGCCTATTAGATGCCTTTTCTAAAAAAAAATATAGTATGCCTCTTCTGACATTGAAAAGAAAGTATCATCCAACAAAGTGATAGTTATTTTTTTTCATACTGTGTTTGTCTATAATAATGAGTTCTTTACAGGTTTAGTTCATGTATAATTTTAAAAGGAACTTACCCTTTGGAAGTAATAGAAAAATGCATAAGACTATTGACCACAATATAATTTATACTACTCTGTCATCTAAGTGATTTATAACTTCCTAGCCCGCATTGCATGTAAATGTTTTATTTTGTTGAAGGAAAGGATAAGTAACTATGGTTATTAGTAACCTGAATAAATAAGTTGTAAAAAAGATACAGGTTTGAAATACATTTATACAATTATTTACTAGTGTTAATTATTGCAGAACATATAGGAAAATAACCTATTATGTGTTAGAGGCCATATAAAGCCTGGGGTATATAATGGCTGTTAGACTAGACCATCTAAAATGAATAAATGAATGACTAGGTTAATTGATTAATATAAAAATAAATGAATAAATTGAAGTCAGAATTCTTATTTTGGTTTTTGAAGTCAATGAATATGTGTCACTTCATAAGAAGACCAATATTTTACTGTATACGTGCTGGGGAAGGATAGTCCTTCAGGGAAACCTTTCACCAAAATACAGTAGATAGTAATACAAGAAATACTTCAAAGAAAGCCAATAAGGACTATAATTGACTTGTAATTATGAGAAAAGAATACCAAAAAGCATTTCACTAATGCCCTATTATAGAATAAAAAATGTAAGTTAAATAATCCAACACTGAGCTATTTTCACCTTATAGTTGATAATGCTCAGCAGCAGTTTCCCAAATAATAAATAAACTCATCAGAAATAATTATTAAATATATATTACTGAATAAACATAATAGGGTGAATATGAATATTTTAATTTGAAACTTAGCAATCTTTGTAGATTTCAATATATTGGAATCTGAACACAGTGGAAGCCAAAGCTACAATGTATCATATCCTGAAAATGCATGATAATACCCATAAGCAGCATATTAATATAATATTATCAGCTAAACTACATTTTCTTCATATCTCACTGGGTTTCCCACTAGTAATTATTTCATGTTGCAATTCAAAAATTTCATAGTAAATCTAGTAAGACAATACTATCACTCTAACTTTTTTAAAGAAAGTATCTTTAGCAAATAGCAACAGAAACTTTTGCAAATCCATTTCTACAAATACCTCTGACAAATATTTGCATATTACCTGGTAATATTGTGACCCAAAGGAGCAGAATAAAGAAAAAGAGATGAATCTTCATGGTGCAGTTTCTTAAGCAAGAACTAACAACAGATCCTCTTTGGAAAGCCGGTTTGTTTTGCATTCAAGAAGCAATGACCACTTTTATTTATAGAGCTTCCTGGGAAGGACTTTGAAGCTTGAAAAAACCAAAATCATTTGTATGTGTGGGTTAATTATTGTGCCATTTTCAAAGAACATGGTCATGACATTATTACTAGTAAATTTCCGCAGAACAAAACCTGCTTAGATTAGCTTCTTTTTCCTCGAGACAGGGTTTCTCTGTAGCTTTGTGAGCCTGTCTTGGAACTAGCTCTTGTAGACCAGTTTGGCCTCAAACTCACAGAGCTCTGCCTGCCTCTGCCTCCCGAGTGCTGGTATTAAAGATGTGTGCCACCACCGCCCAGCTGATTGTATTAATTTTAATGGAACTTCCCAATAACCAACTTTTTCAGAACTAATTTAATAAGAATTTTTTTGTTTAAAATGGTTGCAAAAAGTGGAATGTTGAAAATTACAATTACCAGGCCCTCAGTTATAGGATATTTGTAGTGTTAACTATTTAAAAGGTACCTATTATTAAGTCATTCCGTGTTGTCTCAGGATATTAAAGCTGCCAATTATGATTAAATTCTTGCATTTTACAATTTAAAACAACTAGAGGTCTAGAGATCACATGGTTGTTTTGATTATAAGATGCAATCATTTATATATAAGATTACCAGGAATTCTCTATTCACTGATGTTCATGGGGAAGACTTCCACACATTTTAATGATAGTTTATTAATTTTTAAAAATTACTCATTTAATTTCCACCTTCAAAATCTAAAACTTTTTATCATTCTTTTTATGGACTTGAAAGTGATGTCAGTTTCAATCTGCATGCTTTTAACATCTTTATTCTACATATGGTAAAATCAATCTGCTGGTAGCTGACCCAGCTTACAGAAGCTGATACTCTGAAAAAGGAAGCAATGGATTCTCCTACCACAGGGTAAGGTCAAGTAAAATACTCGGACTGTTGTTTTTAAACTTTAACTACATATTAATTCTCAAGAGGACCAATTCATTTGAGATTTCAGAACTTCTTTCCCCCCAGTGTCTGATTTTGAAGGTTGGAAATGGAGAGTCAGAATTTTCATTTCTAATAAGACTAGGTAATGTAATTTCTGTTGAAAGCAAATATACATAACAAGTATATCTGATCCACTCAATCCATAAAATAATAAACATATGATAGATAGAACAGATTCATAAATATTATGGAGCTGGTTTGAGATTTCCATCCAGGCTTTTCACCACAGGTAAGAAAGGGGAAACAAAGATAGTTGAACTTACAAACCTGATGATAATACATATGACAAATGCTTCTTCCTATAAAACAATAATGAAAACTGTGGAAGGAAGTCAAAAGTCAAAGAAGGGATACTAGTTCTATGGAAGGGTATTTTATTCCTGAGAAAGAATACAGTGTGGAGAATTTATCATTGCTGAAATGGAGAACATGTCCATTCTTATTTTACTATTTAACATTTTATACATGGATATTATGAAGTATTGACATTTAGAATTCAGTGGTTGATTTCTAACTCCATCAATTACTTGACACATAGGATGCCATGCTAACATTTTAGTTTGGAAGTAGTATACTAGCATATCTTGAATAGAATATACAGATGAATAAAGCACCAGCATCAAGATATTGTTTTTTCCATTGGTTAGATTTAAAGGGTTTAGAAAGAAATCACATACTGCCATCAACCAAAGAAAACTGGAATGATGGTAAGAAATTATGACAAACTTGGTTCTAAGAGAAAAATTACTATGAGAATTATGATTTCATATAATGATAAAGTATTAATCTATCAACAATACATCTATATGCATGTATATGCTAACAGAATCCTTAAAATACATTGAGCATAGAGTTGAATATGGCAAAAACTGAATGATGAAGAGGTAATGAATATTATGAAACTTGGAGGAAATAATGCCCTGCTTTTAATAATGCATTCTGCAAGTAGAATTGGTAAAGGAAAATATCAAAACATTTATAGAATATTCAAAGCATCAAAAACAACTCACATACACACACAAGCAAAACACCTATTTCTCTCAAGTGACCATGGAACATCTCTCAAGCAGTCAAAATATTAGGACACAAATAGGTTTAAATAAATTTTGGAATAGAAATGACATATTTCTAATCAATTGTGTTAGATATTAACATGTGAAAAAAATTTAAAAGGTCATAGGCATCTTAAAATCAAACAATAAATTCTTAAATAAATAGTGTCTTACAAGCAGATCAAAAAGAAATAGGAAATGTACTTACGATGAATGGTAAAATATAATTTTGGGTGATGGATTAACAGTTAAGAGCACTTACACCTCTGCCCTCTGAACTATGTTCCTAACTGTATAAAATACCTTGCACTCATTTTTTTTGTTTTGTTTTGTTTTTTGTTTTTCATGACAGGGTTTCTCTGTAGCTTTATAGCCTGTCCTTCCTGGGACTAGCTCTTGTAGACCAGGCTGACCTTGAACTCACAGAGATCCACCAGCCACCAAGCAGAAAGATAAAAGAAAACTGGATGGAAAATGTGTAGTCAGGAGACCACGAGTTAGTTCCTGGCCACGTAGCCCTAAAATAATCACACAGAAACCATATTATTTAAATCACTGCTTGGCCCATTAGCTCTAACTTATTAATGGCTAACTCTTACATATTAATTTAACTCATTTCCATTAATCTGTGTATCACCATGTGGCTGTGACTTACTGGCTAAAGTTCCATTGTCTGTCTCTGGCAGGGCTCCATGGCTTCTCTCTGACTCCTCCTTGCTCCCAGCATTCAGTTTAGTTTTCCCTGCCTAGCTAGGTTCTGTCCTGCTATAGGTCCAAAGCAGTCCTTTATTAAACAATGATATTTACAGAATACAGAGGGGAATCAGAAATTACTAGTTACCGATTTAAGATTTGTGGTAAAACAAGAAAATTTCAAACATATCAAGACTTTCTACCTGACATAGTTTTTGTTTTAAATATTTCAATACTGGGGAACGTGATTCTGAACCTAATCTTATTCCAACCCATTTTTCTAATCTATTATGCTAACTTCAGTCAAATTCTAAATCTATTTTTTTTGCATCAATAAAGCGATATAACATTGTTTTTGTCTAACAACATACATGCATTTGACTAGTCAAATTAGATTACAGCTGTTACTAGTGTACCAGGCTTGAAAAATTATTCCAATATCTTCTCTCTCTAGACACTGTAAATAGTGTCATCATGTGATCATATTAATGAAATGATTCAAAGTTGGTTACATTAATTTAAGAAGTCCTAATTCGTTGATGTTTAAGATCGATACATATCACAATAATATTAATACTTCCTGCTGCCAAAGACATCAGAGATGAATGAAAAAAGAGAAGGAGGGTGAATATTCTTTCTGACTAATGTCTTGTAAGAAAGCAGGTACTGGTCTGTATAAACTTCTGTTCTTATTTAATATGATGAAGGGAACTCTTATTTTATTAGGAGCAATAACTGTGATTCCAGCTGAGTAGTGGCTGTTAACAGAGTCTAGAGAAAGCTGATAATGGACAGACAAATATGCCATCTTTTCTCTTGCAATTTCTTTCTATAAGAAATTAAACAAGTTACAATAATGTGGGTATAGATTGAAAGTTATTAGCTTGACAAAAATTCTTTTAATAATATAGAATATGGTTTTTTCTATTTATTCACAGTTATTATTTAAAGCCTCTTGTGCTGATTATGGATCTCAAAGTAATAGGTGAGTGAAGTTGTATTTCTGAAGAAAGGCTTTGAGGAACTACCGAGACCAACATTGACCATGAGATTAGAGCAGAAAGAAAACACTCCTCGACTCATTTTCTTTCCACTGTCTTGCTCTGCCTATATCTGACATCCAGGACCTACAAAACATTCAGTTATTCATTATTTTAATGTTTAGACTTATTAGAAACCTTACCACCTTGGATGATCAAGCTGTACATGATGCATTTGTTAAATGATAGTGAGCCAATGAGGATAGTCACAACTCTTGGACCACTTACAATGTAACTTCATAAATAAAAATTATCAAATTAATCTATCATATACTCTAACAAATTAATTTTTAACTTTCACTACTTAAACAAGATTTTTCCCCTACTTTTCAAACACAGTTTAGTTTGGAAAAGGGAGGAAAGAGAGAGACAGTGGGCAAAGTCAGAATCATCCTTAGTTATATTCACTAAACACATGGCCATCAACATACTTTTTTTGCTATTTTTCACTGAATATTTAGTAAAATTATAACCTTATATAAAGAAAATATGTATAAGGGGCTAGAGAGTTTACTCAGAGTTTAAGAGTCCTGGTCACCATGCCAGAGGATCAGGGTTTGACCTAAGCACATAAATGATGCTCCACAATCATCTTGTCTTCCCTATATATTTTCAACTATAATTTATAAAAATCTAGTTATAGAAAGGAAATGAATAAATCTATAAATCCCAATTTCTACTTCTACTTGTGGTAGTCTGGTAACAATGTCATTATAACTTTAGACACTATGAAAGATATGTTTTAAGTTATTTTATAAGAAGTTCATCTCAGGCTCTATCCATCACCCTCCACAATTCCCATCATCATTTTCACTAGAAAATGATTTTTACTGAATAAATACATGAATTTATTGAAAGAATTTAAAAAGAAATACCAAGCCTCTAAGGAGAAACAAGTGCTAAGAATGAGCTATATCCTAGAACTTCATGAGACAATTTAGAGAACACATACCCCATAGTAAGTGCCTGTGCTTACTTTCCGGGCCAAGTTTTCTTGATAAGGCCATGGGAATTAAAATAGGTCAGTTTGAAGGGCCATTTCAGGACTAGGGAGGTGACAATTTTTATTTAGAGCAATCAGACCTTATATATCTTTATCAGAAGCAGACTATAATGACAATGGCCAGAACAAATGCAGTAGGCAGGATACAATGATGTTTGCAAGATATACAAGGTACGTCAGAGCAATTGTGCTGTTAAGCTTCCATACTTCCATGACAACTAAGGCAAATACAAAGACACACAAAGCAGCTTGAACTCTACACTACCTGAAGGAATGCCTCAATTTCTCGGGATCTAGAAGGCATACATTGTCCCAAGTCCCAAGGACTCCAACCTGAAATACTTATGACACGTGTCTCTTGAGGCAGCTAAGCCAGGCCAACTCCATGGTTCCAGGCACTCCAGATCTGAAGACATTATTTAGACTGTCACTATGGGGAGGATTTTAGCCTTTAGACTAGAAAATAAGGAGCCCAGACCACTTTTGTATGGAGGCTGTCAAGATGGGCTCACCTCTCCCTTCAAACATGAAGAAAACTGACAGGTTTATTTTTTACTCCAGGTCTCTGACTTTCATTTACTTTGAACATTTATTTTGTAAACTTGATCCTTTAAGACATAAATCTGTCCCTTGCCAGTTTTGCAACTTAAAACTATGTTTCTCTAATTCAATATGTAGCTCTCTTTGACTAACCCTATGACAATGGTATGAGAAGTGTGAAAAGTATGACTAGTATTTTTAGATTTTGGTGGAGATGAGCTTGTTTTCAATGAAATAAATAACAAAGAACAAGGCATGTGCAGTACATGGGGGCAAAAACACTTATTAAATAATAATGTACCAATAACACCCATCTAATCTCAGAACTTGCAAATGAGGAAACAAAGAACAAACTTTGAGTAGAAGCTTCAACAGGTGTGCTACAATTCGGAGGATAGAAAGGGGTTTTGCGATATAAGTATTCAAGGAAAGACCTAACCAAGTTTGAACTCATTTCAAGGTAAGGGAAACTGCCCAGAAGCATTGTAGCAGAAGAGAATTTGAGTCAGGAAGTCTTGAAGCAATGCTACTGTACACAAACTTCCAAATTAGAAACTGTTCTCATCGAGTATAATATGAAACCTCTGATGCTGAAAACCTAAGAACATCCTGTGAGAGAAGTGGACACCCATTTAGTTAAGGACATAGAGTTCCTCCAGACCAGCATGTAACATTTTAACCCAACCACACAGCTATTTCATAACAGGCCGTTCATTAAAATGCCATAGTCCCTTTGATCCAAGTCTGTGCTTCACTGATATTCTGAATACTGATAGTTATTAAATTAGTGATAGACTTTATTTCATTGTGGGGACAGTGAAAGCTATGCCATTATATGAAACAAACAAAAAATGTTGAATTAATCAGTTTATAAAGGCACAAGGAATGGTAGAAAATAAAAAAATAGTTGGCTGGAAATGTTCCTCTAATAGACATTTAAATGTATAGATTCTATTGGTTAAAAGACAAAAGAATTTAGCACTACCAGAAGGTAGGAAACAGTTCTGGTAGTTCTCAAACACAGAATGTCCTTAGCTGAGATCTTTTGCAATGGGAAGAAACCTAGGTCAAAGGTCCAGAAAATATTTTTAACAAAAGAGAAGAAAATTTCTCTAACCTAAGAAAAGATACCTATCAAATTACCAGAAGCATATGGAATACCAAATAGATTAGATCAGAAAATAAATTCCCCTTGACACATAATAAACGAAACCCTAAACATACAGGACAAGGAAAGGATATTAAGAGTTACAAAGGAAAAAGACAAAGTAACATAAATTAAAATGGATCAAACATATTTACAGGACAGTTCACCCAAAGACAAAAGAAGAGACATTCTTCTCATCACCTCATTGAACTTTCTTCAAAACTGACAACATAGTGAAACACAACACAAGTCTCCAAAGATAAAAGAAAATTGAAATAACACCTGCATCTTATCTGATCATGAGGGACAATAACAGAAGCATCAGAAATTTTACAAAATCATAGAAAACAACTCTCTACTGACTAGAAAACGGGTCAAGACAGAAATGGAGAAAAAAAATTAAAGACTTTCTAGCTTAGAATAAAAAAGAAAACACAACATACCCAAACTTATGGGATACAATGAACACGGCTTTAAGAGATACTTTCACAGCACTATATGCCTTCATTAAAGAAAAAAAAAAAACAATAAAAACAAAACAAAACAAAAAAAAACCCCAAGCATCAGAAAATAAAAAAACTGGAGGGATCTCATACAAGTAAATTAATAGCATACCAGACTGAAAGTTCTAGAACAAAAGGAAGAAATCACATCCAAAAAAATTAGATGCCAAAAATTAATCAAACTCAATGTAGATAGAATCAATGATATAAATACTTGGTTCTTTGAGAAAATAAATAAGATTGACAAACTCTTATCAAAATTAAGTAAAAGGTATAAAGAGAAGATTCAAATCAAGAAAGTTAGAGATAAAAAGAGGGAAATAACAACAGATACTAAAATCCAGAGAATCACAAAGACATACTTTAAAAATCTTCATTCCAAGAGATGGAAAGATATAGAAGAAATGAATAATTTTCCTGTTACATATCACTATCAAAGTTAAATCAGGATAAGATCAGCAATTTAAACATACACATAACTGCTAGTGAATAAAAGCAATATTAAAAGTCTACCAGTTCCCAATGTAGACCATGTTTTAGCATAGAATTCTACTTGATTTTCAATGAATTGTAAATGTCAATACTCCTCAAATTACCCAAAAAATAGAAATACAGACCATTTACCCTTATGACCGTAGATGCAAAATTCCTCAATAAAATGCTTACAAACACAATCCAAGACCATATCAAAAAGATCATCTAGCATGATCCAACAGGCTTCATCCTAGAGATACAAACAAACTAAAAGACAGAATAGAGTTGGTCATCTTTTCAGACGCATAGAAGGTTTTTGACATCATTTCAATAATCCTTCATGATAAAAGTTCTGGAAAGATTATGGGTACAAGGGACATACCTCAACATTACAATGACTGTTTACTAGAACTCATAACCAATATTAAAATAAATGGAGAGAAATTCAAAGCAATTTCACTAACAGCAAGAGCAAGACAACATCTCCCACTCTCTTCACACCTATTTAATATAGTACTTAAATTCTTCACTAGAAAAAATAAGATAACTGAAGATCAATGAAATATATACTAGAAAGGAAGAAGTCAAAGTATCTTTATTTGCAGATAATATGGTAGTGTACATAATCGAACCTAAAAATTCTACTTGGAAACTCTTACATCTGATAAATATTTTCAACAAAGTAACTTGAAGCAAAAGTAACTCAGAAAATCTGTAGTCCTTTTATATAAATGATAAATGAACTAAGAAAGATATTAGGGAAATAAGACCTTCTAAAATAGCCTCAAATGTTTAAAAAATATCTAAGGGTAACTCTAATCAAGCAAGTGAAATACTTTTATGATATAAACCTCAAGCCTTGGAAGAAAGAAAAATATCAGAAGATGGAAAGGTCTCCCGTACTCATGGACCAGTAGAAGTAATACAGTAAAAAATAGCCATCGTACTGTAAGCAATATACTAATTTAATGCAATCACCACCAAAATTTCGACACAATTCTCCATAGATCTTGGTAGAACATTTTTCAATTTCATATAGAAACATAAGAAAACACAAGATAGCTAAAAATGAAATACTGGATAATAAAAGAACTGCTGAAGGTATTACCACCCCCAATCTCAAATTGTATAACAGAGTTATAATAATAAAAACAGATGGTATTGGCACAAAGACTATAACAGTTTATATTGAAGTAAAAATCATTGTAGGTAATACCATATTCAACAATGGATTTTATAACATATTTCTATTGTATTTATGCTTTCATAGAAAGCCATTATGATTTTTAAAAAGTGTGGTTTTATTTTATAACCAACCTTTTGGATTCTTTAGTGCCTTCACACATATTCTTCATTGTTTTAATAATTGCTTTAATTTGCTTTCTATAGCTTTCATAAGCACCATAACAAGAAGCACCTCAGAGTATGAAAGTGTTCATTTGACATACACTTCTGGGTCACAGCCCATTTTTGTATTAGTCAAGGCAAGAACTTGAGAAGGAACTGAAGTAGCAACCATGAGATTACTTCTTAGTGGCTTGCTCTCTGGCTTCCTTTTGTAACTGAGGCCCACCTCCCTAAAGTTGGCACCCCTGACAGTGACCTGGGCAGTCCAACATAAATCTTACAGCAGGGCAGACTTTCACAGTTATGACCACAGGCCAATCTGATCCGGAAAATTCCATGGCTAAGGTGCCATCTTCCCAATTGGCTCTAGGTTATGTCATATTGATAGTAAGGGGCAATGAGCAGAATACTGGAGGTCACATTTCAGCTTTAAAAATAAATCATCTTCTATCTATTATCCTTAATGTTACTTTCTTGTTTCTGAACACTGAATTGTGTTCAAAGTAGGAGATGAACTCAGTGAGTACTGTATATAAGTTTTATTCTAAGTAAATTTAGAAAAAAATAAAAACAAAGGATTTTGAGATTTGAGTCATACAATCTCAGTAGGACAAACTAATTCACCAGAACTGTTGATATTAATAAAAATTGAAAATGAATCTTTAAGTAGTTTAGAACAGTATGTACTAATATTTAAGAAAAATTTGATGTCTAAGCCAGAAGAAATGGGTCCCTTGGTTTGCTACATGAACAACTCTTTGTAAGTCAAGGGAAAACAACGTTTACTATGATTTCACAATTCATCAAACAGTGTCAAACACAAATTAACTGTAAAAGTATCTCATTTTGGACTCAAAGGTGCTCCTTCAATGCAAATGTATTGTTCTGCAGTCATAGCGGTAATTGGTTAATAATGGCTTATAAACTGACATGATTCTGCTCAGGAAAATTCTAAGAATCAAGGAGCCCATAGTTGAGACATGAAATTGGAGCAAAACTCCATTTGCCCTTCCTTTGTCAGAAAGGGCAAGTGTCTCAGAGCATTTAATTTAAAAAGAAAAAAAAAAAAGCCTCACAAAATGCAACCGTATTTCACCAGTTGAAATGGCTCTGGAGTCTTCTATCAACTTCCAGAATTAGTTTGCAAGTGTTGCCTGCTTTCTTTCAGTCTGCTACCAGCATGGAGCCGGCCACCTGCTGTGAGATAAGGGTGGAGCGACCAGCAGTTATTATAGCAGTAGCCATAAGTTTATTGCTTATTGGTACTAAACTTAAATCTTAGTAATTTTGAATTACTGAGTTAGCTTAGATTTATGGAGATGTGCAATCATTTCGAATGGCATTCATTGCGAAAGGGTATATTATCTAAACCAATTTTCTTATACTGATCCAATTGCAATACCATAGTTACGGTGGCATCAGCATTTCTATTATAAAGTCCTATTTTCAGGGTTTTATAATTTGACCATAAAAATTCTCTTCTTGTAGAAACTTGGCAAACAAGATCTGAGGCTTAGAACCAAGTTATTACTTTTTAGTGAAATTGAAAACACACACATACATGTTTGATCTATTCAGCCAGTTAACTCTGGAAACAGCAATTAAAAAAAAAAATTCACCAAACCACATTAAGAGTGACGGAAAGTAGTAGAGAAAAGGACAGTTACTCAAAACGCTAAGATGATGGAAATTGTCAAGCCTTATCATTTTCATGTTAACTTTCTGTAAGAAATCAGAGTGATACTTTTAGCTGTGTATATTAACACACTTGGAATCCCAGTACTCAGGAGGCCACGGCAGAAGCATTGACAGTTGGTCAAGGCCAGCCTTAGTTACTCAGTGTATCCCAGGCTAGGCTGGGCCAAGTGAGAATCCCTTTCTTAGACAAGCAACACACAAAAGGAAGATACTTGTGACAAAGATTTAACGACAGTGCAAGCGAGTAATATCCCACGTTAATAAACACCACTCTGCAAATGAGACATTGAATTTCAATTCTTCATTCTTTTCTCTGTGAGATACAATAATGTGCAGTTACGCATTAGCGTAAAAATGCGGGAATTTAACAAATACAGTTGAAAAGAATTAACTTCAGAAAACATTCTATGAATATGTAATGTCAATTCCTTAATTCACAGTGAGTTCTCCTTCTAAATTTTTCATCTACTGTCCGAATATGGATTTGTTATATATCTAGAGGGCTTCTTAAATATATAACAAACTCCTGGAGTAGCTTATTTGTCTCTTATGTAGTACATAGAAATATTTGCTGGTAATTTTTTTGTCATTTTAACGGTTTTTACATTTTTCTTTTAGAAATAGTCGTAGTCATTAGCCTTTATTTTGTTTGGAGCAGGCTTTTCTAATTGGAATTAACCTACCCAGAAAATATGACTACCGCCCTCTTGTGGCAGACAGAGAAAATGTACATTGTGTGTAGGGAGGGCTCAGATTCTGACTTAGTGAGACAAATCCCAAAGAATACTTTGTCTGATTTAAAGAGGATACAAAACAAACAATAGTTTTGAAAAAGCAAACAAACAAAAAACCAGAATTATCCAATGTAAGAGAGTAAGGGCATTTATCGTTGTTCTATAGCGGTAAATGATGAAGAATATAGATTTTGATGATAGGCTTGCTGTGATTTCAACTTCATTCAGCTCCAGTCAAGGTTGGTAAACAAACAAGGCACCAAACTCAATTTCTCATGAGTAGAATTTGGGATAATAACAGAAATTGCATGCTGGTAATACAGCTCAGTGGAAGAGCTCTTTCTGAGAACATCCAAGGCTTTTGGTTCAATCTCTGGAGCTATTTTTATTTAACCAGGTGATTATTGCAATGATTATGAGGAATAATTCATATATATTCTGGCATATACTATGTATGAGGAATGATTTGCTGTCACTGTAGTGTTCTTATTACTGCTAAATCCTGAGGACAATATTTTTTTAATGAAATCATTAATGAACACATTCTTTAAAATGTTTGCTGCTGGAGCTGGAGAAATGGGTCAGCACTTAAGCTTTCTTGTTCTTACAAATGGCCTGGATTTGGTTCCTAACGTCCACATTACCTAGTATCATAACCATCCATAGCGCCTCAGGCACAAATCAAGCAAATGCTGCATTGGCATACATACCACCAAATCACTCATATACCCACAATTAAAAAATACATGCAAAATATTTAAAAGTTAAAATATTTGCAGCCATTAATGAATAACTTCTTTAATGCTTTTGCTTGAACTGTTGAATTATTTTGTGACATGGGACCTCTGCTGCTGGAGAGTATGCATCCACCCTTTTATTTGTGTTGTTGTTTCATTTGTATATTATTTTATTTTATTTATTGAGATTAGCCCTGCTATGTAGCTGTCTTCCAGTTTTGTATCTGTTACATACCTCAGGCTGGTTTAGAATTCATGACTCTGCCCTTGTTCCTTCCCTTCACCCTCCCCCTTTCCAATTGTTAGGATGACAAATATATTTCACTTGAGGGCAAAGTGATTTTCTTATTTTAAAAGATCAAATAAGGGACTTATTTAATAAGAAAGAAAATCTATTTTTTGGTACTATGAAATTACAGATCATTGAGAAAGATTTGTTCCACTTATTATATAATGAACATTTAATTGAGAATCACAGGGCCATGAGCAAAGCCTGGCATTCATGTCATATAAATAAAGTACACTATTCAGAGAGTTTAAAGGAAGAGGCACTGTGGGTAAGATTTGGAGTAGTTAGTTAGCTGTTCATCTTGCATTCATCAATCAGTTATCATATAAAACTGGGAAACGTTATGAACATTCAAGTGTGTCTGTTTTCTATTTTCCCCAGAGCTAAGGAAAGCATCTTGTATCATTAGGTCATCCCCATTGTTCTG